AGACTTGGCGAAATGGGAAAATTTACAACTGTCACTAATAGGGAGAATCTCAACAATCAAGATGAATATATTACGCAGAATCTTATATTTGTTCCAAACAATTCCAATTAGGCTTGGAAAAGACTATTTTGAAGATTTAAATAAAATTGTGTTGAAATATATATGGCAAGGTAAGAAAGCGAGAATGAAGTTAAAACTTTTGCAAGATGCTAGAATTAGAGGAGGATTTGGTTTACCTAATTGGGAGTTGTACTACCAAGCTACAAACTCAAGGAATGGATAACATTAAGAAATACTAGATTGTTGACATTAGAAGGACATGATTTGTTGTTGGGGTGACACGCTTTTTTATGGTACAAGGGAACTAAAATGCAGGGGTATTTTAGAAGACATCATATACGGGAGTCTTTGTGGTTAAACTGGGAGAAGATTAAGAGACAATGTTATTTGAAAATTCCAGTCTGGTTATCGACTATTGAAGCATTTTCCTATCCTATAATATACAAGAAGGAACAAACAGTTAGATATGGGGAAATGTTGAATGAAAAGGGTGAACTTAAATCTATGCAAAAACAACAAGGTATAACAACAAGGAACAAGGTATAAAGATGAATTGGTTTTCATATGCGCAAATACATTCAAGGTATGATAAAGATTTTAAAACAGAAGGTTTCTATGATAAATTGACTGATCTAGATAAGATTTTGACAGGTACTGATGAAAAGGTGATTAAAAAATGTATGGATATTTATTAGAAACTAAACTAGAAGAAGAACAAGTTAAAGAAACTATGATTGTTTGGGGGAAGAACTTTGGATATGGGATTGATTTAGAGAAATGGCAAAAATTGTGGTCTCAAAATTATAAAATGACAATGTCAACAGCATATAAAGAAAATGTGTATAAGATGTTTTACAGGTGGCATTTCCCCCCGACAAGAATAGCAAGAATGTTCAAGAATAAATCCGAAAAATGTTGGAAATGTCATTAGACACCTGGCTCATATTACCATATGTGGTAGACTTGGGCGGACGCTAGAAAATATTGGACTAAAATCCACATGTGGTTGGAAAAAAATGACAAAAAAACATATAGATTTGAAACCAGAGATATTTTTATTGGGAATTTTACCTGATACATATAGCAAAGATTTGAAATACTTGATTGTAAATGTATTAACAGCGGTTAGGATTGTATTTGCTAAAAACTGAAAAAATGAGAAAATACCATCGCAGGAGGAAATCATTAAGAAAATATTGGAATGTGCTGAAATGAATAGATTGACATTTGAAATTAGAGAACAAGAGGATAAACAATTTTATAAAATTTGGGACCTTTTCTATCAATGGTTAGATAATAAAATACAATAATGAAATATGTAGATTTTTTAAAAAAATATATAAAGATGTACTTCTTTTTTATTATATCTACAAAATGTTTTTAGGATAGATTTGGGAGGATAATATGAATTGTTATAAAATAAACTACTGTATATACTCGAGGGGAAGAGAGTGACTCCTGCCTCCCGCTGTCATCATCATCTTCTTCTTTTGGGTTAGTGAATCAATTAAACCTTTCATGATAGTGAGATCGTTTCCCAAATTAATTATTTTTATTTTTGAAATTTACCAGTAGCTGCTGCATTTCCCACCCTCGGCTTATACTCGAGTCAATAAGTTTTCCCAGTTTTTTGTGTAAAATTAGGTGCCTCGGCTTATATTCGGGTCGACTTATACTCGAGTATATACGGGTAAGTAAATTATGGTTATCTTGTAAAATATGAATGAATAAAATTATAGTCAAATGATTGAATAATAATGATACTAGGGTATTCAATTTTTGATTGATAATATGAGCTATTATGCAATGTAACTGTAACTGAAGACTACAAAATAGATGCACAAAAAAATTTGTAAACCAACCGGCACACTGCTTGTATACCTATGGAAGAAAGTTTGATGTTTTTATGTTTTGTTTGTTTATGTTTGTTTTTAAAAATCAATAAAATTTACCCCCCCCCCCAAAAAAAGAGGGGTAACTTAGGTTGTTATCCTCTTTGAATATGCATGTATATCTGTGAAGAACTACTGAATTCAGTGGGGCTTAACTACAGCATGACAGTGCATAGGTTTTCTTGTGTTTGATCCCCAGATTGTTTTTATATTTCCTTTTGCAAACAAAAAATATTTATCTTCCAGTTTCCACCTTATTTAGGTGGAAAATGTTGAAGTAAACAAATCTTTCTCGAGCACAGAAGTTTCCTATTTTTAATTTCCTGGTGATTAAATTATTATTTTCTTTTTTGGAGTGTGGTGTCTGAAAGAGTTCTTCAATACTCAAATGCATGGATTTTATGTGTGTGCATCAGTTGTGATGGTGGGGTGGGGGATGGAAGGATAGACACTGACAGTGGAGATTGGGTTTTGTGGGGATGAAAGGATAGGTTCTGACTGGATTGGGGTGTGTGTGGAAGGATTGTATTTCTTTGCAGTCATCTGGTCCATTAGCACTTTGAGTGAGAGTTTTTGAAGCACTTAGAGTAGAAGTTTATCTTTGCTCTGAGGATACAATTGGTTGTGGAATCTTCTTGGCACTGCTGCAAATGACCTTTTTTGGTATAGAGTTCTGATCACTCCCATGTTGTGCTCCAATGGGTGGTGAAAATAAAAATGTAAATACTGACCTCTGTGTGTGGGTTCTCTGTAAACTTCAATGTTAAGGCTTCTGTCCTGAAGTTTACAGAACTTACACTGAAGTTACATTTCTATTTATTATTAGGAACATCTTCACTGCTATTTCTAAGAAAAATGCCTTACTATCTACACTTTGCCTCATATAAATGTATTTTTTGTGGCCAGGCCATTTTTTTCCTTGGAAAAACAAATAAGGGTGGAACACCTTCCAACTCTGTTATTCTATATATGTAAACTGTACTAGTGAGTATGGAGTTTTATAAAGGAAGAGAGAAATTATCTAAAGAAACATGATCTCTACTGCATTTCATTTTTCCTGAAATTCTTAAATATTCTTCAAAAGAGCTGACAAAATATCCAAATGTAGGGGCCAAGATTCAACCCCTATTAATTTTAAATAATAATATTTTAATATGCTTTAAAGGATTTTGTGCAACCTATGGGACTTGGGGAAGTGATCGTCTATGAATAGAACATTTAAACTGGTTTGATTCAAATTTATATTCTTCTAGAATGATTCTGACTGAATATATAATGGAGAAAATAGTAGTGTTTTGCAGAAAATTGAGTAATAATCTTGCAATTTATATGAAGTATAATGAATTAAGAATCTACAGAAAATGATAGTAAGAAAAGAAATGATGAAATAAAAAATAGTAAGCTGAAATTACAGATAATCAAAATAAGAAAAACATTTTTAAAATGTAAAAGAAATGAAGTCAACCATCATGAGACAGAGAAATGTAGATGCCTCCCAAAAGCTAGAATTATATTACTCAGCATCAGAAAGCATCATACCAGTATGCATTGCTAAAATTCTCTGGCTACCTCTGTAATTTCTTGCTACAAACTGTTATCTAGTTCTTAATTTAGATTTAGAAGATATAAATAAACCTAGATGTAGAAGATATAGATAGATAAGCAATATATATAAGATTAAGGGTGCAAGATATCAGATTCAGAGGACTTGCCTGAATACTTTCTTTAGAGAGTGTTGCATTTGCATTTGAAACTTGAGAAAAGATGCTTCCAGTTTTGCTGGTTTTCTGTCAGAATACAAATTGGAGGGGAGGGGAAAATCTGTTAATAGCATTTATACTTCTCTGTTATGTCCTGAAAACAATATTTGAGTTTCTGGCCATATCTAATCAATAGTATTGGTGCATTCTTTTGGAAACCATAAGAGACTTTTTGGGGATTATGAAATATTGTAGTCATTACTTTTTGTGTAGTACACATACACGTTGGCAATATTTTCATTTCTGAACACACATTTTTAATAAGCATTTGATCAGAAAATTGCATTGTAATATTCTGAGAAATGAAAATGAAGGATAAGGATTGCTTGATTGTACATAAAGTTGTTGAACATCTATTTTTGCAAATATGGATTCTGTACCCATGCAGTCTCAATGCATAATTTAGAATGCTTTAGAAGGACTTCTCATCTCCCAATTATGTCTATAGGTGGTCCTCATTTAGCAACTACCTTGTTTAGTAATGGTTCATTAGAATTAGAATTAGAAGAACTTTATTGTCATTGTACATGGTTACAAGAGTGATGAAGAAGTAATTTTACAGTCAGCCCCTGCATTTTCAACCTTCTGAAGAGCAAAGGAAAGTTGAATTAAGATAGTAAGTACTGCTTTCACTTAGCAACCACTTCACTTAACAACCCAGTTACCAGCCCAATTGTGGTTGCTAAATGAAGATGGAATGGGACAACTCACCATCTGGCTGACACATTTCACGTGTCCGGCTAGCCGTGGCCACCTTGGCCTTTTGGCTATGATCAAGCACAGAAAACAACTACCGAGTTTCTATATATAATATGCTTGCAATGAACTCTTGCTGAACAATGAGCTCAATGTGCATGATGAAAATACAAATTCTTTGTTGGTTTTGAGGAAAATACCACCTGGCAAATGCAGTAAAATATTAGAATGTATTTTTTGTTTTGTTTTTCATAAACAATTTCAAGCATTCTTTTTTATTGTCTCTACTCCATGTACAGCCAAGCAAGAAACAATGAATTTTAACAAATGTTTTCATTTTATTCTGAAAAAGACATCTCATTGGCCACTTTTTTCAAGGTTGTATGAAAATAGTATAGATTAACAGCTCACTAATGAACAGGAGGGAGCTAGGAGAAAATTTCAACTTCCATTATTTTCTGTGGTCAGAAGACTCATAATGTTTCAAGGCTTGTTCCTTACATAACCTTTTTGAGTCAAACTAAAGATTAATCTAATCCTGTATATGTCTTAGGAGATTCTCAGTCATCTCAGTGTTCCTGCCCATATTTACCTGCATATCTATACTCTGGGTATCCATAATCACTTCTTTTTGACTTCCTAAGATAATGCTTTCATCTCCTGAATGGGGAAATGGGAGCGAGAGAAAACAAAACATACAATATATTATAAAGTAAGCAGTTTTCTTACAGTATAAACTGATTTTTATATTCAATTCTATACATTTTTTAAACTTTCGTCAGGGGGAATGAGTTCTGAAATGTGGATTCCTAATACGTCTACTCAGAATGAAATACCTTTGAGCTCAACAGCACTTACTTCTAGGTAGAGGTGTCTAATCACCTATACTCAATTTTTTATAATTATCCATTTTAGTTTTCAAAACTTCAGAGAGACAGTACTTTTTATAAATTCATGATAATTTCAATTAAAAATTATATACATTCATGAAGATTGCAAATTTCTTAATATTATCTCTTCATTAGCCAAAACCTAGAATAAGGGGATAAGGAGCCAAGTACAGCTGCTTATGTACAAGAAAAATCTCTCAGATGGATTATTCTATCCCACATTTATGATCAATTAAAGAGCTAGTGACTACATTTGAGGGAGGATACCTCTTCGGATACCTGAAAGCTGCACACATATAAAATAGTGGCAGCTTAGATCTTTGTTGGTTGGGGGGATTTAAGAGAGCACATGTTGTATCAGTATTAATGTTATCAGATCACTTTTGCAGGAATCTGGTGCATCACTAAAGCTTTTTGCTGCAATCCAGCGGTCACTAAGCATATGGGATGTTTTTGTCCACAGCCTACATTTACCTGCTGCTCCACCTCCACCCATCATCTTGGCCTAGCCAAATGCCTTGTTTCATCTATAGAGACATGCCAGACATGCAGTTGTCCATGACTTATTTTTAAGCCTGTAAGCCTGTAGACCTGATTGGGGCTTTATTTCTGTGGGCCCAAGATAGTAATCACACCTGCATAGAATATATTCATACCAACAGGGGGAATGACTAGTTTTGGAAATATGTACCACATTCTTAGATAGCGTTATGACCTAATGGCATGTAACCTGGGAGTTATCTGATATAGAGTTACAGTATATTCTACTGAAGCAGGAATCTTCCAAAAACTTGCAAGGAATATGAGATAAACAGTTGATTGTTAAATCACTTGATGCTTAACAAACAAATTAACTTTTAAGAAACTTAAAAACTAGCTATTATTAAAAATGTCAGTTAATCTAACACAATTTATTTTGTAAAATTTATTTTTCCCCAAAGTTAATATAACTAGTAATTACTTTTCATACACTGTTTCTGATGCATATTTTCCTCTGTGGAAATTATTACTAATACATATTAAAGAGTATTATCACCCTGCTAGGAAATGTATTAGCCCAATGTATTATTTAGCAATAAATTAAATTTTGCAAAATAGTTTGATTTCACCTGTAATCTCACTTGAAATGCATGGCGGTTTAAGAATATCATCTGGATGTGGTTTGCAAAGTCCATGGAAAAGTCTCAAGTCAAAGCAGTCATGAAGCAGCTCTACATTCACTTCAGAACATATGCTCATGAACCCCACTGCTATGCCATTATCCTGAAACATCCGTTAAAATGCTGTTAAGTGTTTTTTTTTTTCAAAAGATATGGAATCCCATAAGATAAGAAAATATATCATTTAACTTCTTGTACTAAAATTCATGTTCCTTGCTTATAATATAGCAAGAGGACCTCTGACACATAACTATAAAATAAAAGTATAAGTATAAAAGTATAAAAATAAGAGGCATAAAGCAGTGCACTGTTTGTATTATCAATGATGATTTTTCAGCTGCAATAGCAATAGTGCTTAGACATATACCGCTTCATAGTGCTTTACAGCCCTCTCAAAATGGTTTACCTTAGTAGTGAGCAAATTGCCAAGGGCCCCCTTTTATTGACCTCAGAACAACGGAATCATGGGTCAACCTTGAGCCAGTGAGAACTGAACTGTTGGCAGTTGGCAGAATTCGTGTGCAATATTGCATTCTAAGCACTGTGCCACCAGGGCTCTTCAAAACCACGTACAGGATTTGAAAAACAGCACACATATTCCAGTTTAATCTGATTAGTTTTAAGTTGTTCTTAAAATAATGTGTCTACCAATATGGCTGTTCTTAAAACTTAGTTTTAATTAAAACTTATTTAATTTAATAACTTTATTTAACACGTTATTTAATTAGAGTTTAATCAGATACCAATAGGTAGTCAGATGATACAGGGCATCCACATAAGGGCAAAAAAGTCATGGCGCAACCATGTGGTTAAAATTCTAGCCCTTTTTAAGTGTACCACATTTTAAAATGAGCTAGGGCTTTAGCCACACAATTCTACTCCCCCTCCCCCAATAACTTTGCATCACTGGGAATTGTATGGTATAAGATCACCCCTTTTACATGCTCCATCAGATAGAGACACCTATTGGCTGTAATACTGAAAGAAATTTATGGCAATTATGTTTTTTTTTAAACAAATTTTATTGATTTTTTTAAAGACAAACAAAATATAGGACATAAAAGCATAAAACCTTCTTTCTAAAAATTACCTATAAGTTTTAACAAGACAAATAAAACATTATTTTTTACAGCATAGTTCCACATTATCACATTTCCATTTAAGCACATATATATCTTTTCCAGATTTCTCATTATTTCTCCCTTCACTTTTATTCAATTATATTTCTTTCTATCAAGGTTTTATTAATTCTCAATCAAATATAAACACACAAAATGCAAAGCATAAGACATAAAACTTCTGACAAACAAAGCATAAGACATAGAAACATAAAACCTCCTTTCTAAAAGCTGCTTATAGATTTTAACAAAGCAAATAAAACATTGTTCTATACAGCATAGTTCCAAATTATCACATTTCCATTTAAACACATATATATCTTTTCCGAATTTCTCATTGTTTCTCCCTTCACTTTTATTCAATTATATTTCTTTCTATCAAGGTTTTATTAATTCTCAATCAAACATAAATACACAAAATACAAAACATAAAACAAGACATAAAAACATAAAACCTCCTTAATTATCATTTATACATATCTTTTCCAAATTTCTCATTGTTTCTCCCTTTAGTTTTATTCCACCAAGGTTTTATTAATTCTCAATCAAACATAGCTAACCAAAACACAAAATATAAAACATAAAACTTCTTTTTGGAAAGTGGCTTAGCCCCGGGTTACATCTTTTTTTACAGACCTAAATCAAATTCATGCTCACCTTATATACCATTCTTATCTTATTTACCATTCTATATTTTCTATATTACTTCTCCCTTCTTTTCACTCTCTTAATTATATTTTATTTATTTCATCTTATTTTAAAATCATTATACTTGTATCTTTTGTCCGTTCTTTTCCAATTATCTATTTATCTCTTCTCTTTAACAGAAAATTTCCCCTGTAATCACTTTTAAAGTGTGACGCCTTTCTATCTTTCCCCTAAATTGACACTTAAAATAATACATAATTTCCATTCTGATTCTGCTTAGTACATTCTACATGTTGCATTTTAAAATAAAGGAATAATAAATTTATAATATAGTTAAATATATAATTTCCATTCTAATTCTACTTAATACATTATTTTAAAATAAGAAAATGAAATAGTAAATTTATAACATTAAGACAATAACAAATTAAACTATAACTAAACATTAATCATTTTACACATTCTCTTTAATATTTTATTGAATATTGAGATCTATCATTATTAAACATTTTAATATTTTAATATTTTATTAAATCTTATAATATTCCAATACACTATTTCAAATGCAAATACTACAATACTATCTTATGTACTCTTGCAGAATCTTTCTTTAATTATGCTTTACCCTTTATCACTGAAAAAGATCTGCTTTTTAGCATCTTGTTTCAAGCCTTTGTGACTTTTTTTTCCCTTTTTCCCTCCCTTTCTTCTCCTGTCTGGCCTTTTTGCCCCCCCCCTCTCCTAACCTCCATCTTTTTAACTTCCCCTCTCTGTTGTATTTCTCTTTTCTGTTGCTTTCTAACATTGTACCTTTTTTTCACCTTATTTTTCTCTTTCTTGGTTGTTTTGTTAAATCTTAAATTCTCAATTTTCCTTCCCCTCCTCCTATTTTCTTTCTTAGTTGAACTTTTTTGTCCATTAAAGATGGCTTCTCCCTCTTCTTCTTCTTCTCCTTCTTTCCCATGTAGTTGCTGATAAGTAGAAATCGCCATTTCTAAAAAGTGGAAGACAGCTCCCAAAGAATCTTTGCCTTCTTGTTCTCCCTCCTTTAATTTTTCATATTCCATTTTTAATTCATCCACAGATAGTGCCATTGTAAAACCTTTTCTTCTTCTTCTTCTTTTTTAAATAACAACCCAAATGGGGCAATTATGTTTGATATAATTAGCTACTATTTATTTATTTGAAACATATACTGTATATATTAATCTTCTAGTCACTCCTTATCACCCATCCCCTCCCACTTGTGACTGTATGACTGTAACTTTGTCGCTTGTATCCTTACGATTTATACTGTTTCCTAGTATGATTTGATTGCTTATTGTACCCTATGACTATTAAGTGTTGTATCTGATGATTCCTGACTGTTGACGAATGTATCTGTTCCTTTATGTACACTGAGAGCATATGCACCAAGACAAACTCCTTGTGTATCCAATCACACTTAGCCAATAAAGAATTCTATTCTATTCTATTCTATTCTATTCTATTCTATTCATATAACCTCCCAAATTATATCACTTGAGGAATATTTAGGCTGCATTCTATTATTCCTAATGAATAGATGAAGAAAATTCTGTTCAAATTGGCTTTGATTGACTTGTGTTATCCAGAATAACAACCCAAATTATATGCAGCTTGGATAATATATACTTAACTTCTCATTTATTTTCTTCCAGTCAAGGATCTATATAGTATATAGTAGCTATATGTATTTTTGAAAATGGGGACATTACAAATATTTGTTTGATTCTTTTCAGTAGTCTTTAGGAGAGTTCTTATCACAAAAAATTTACAAATACATCCTGATGCTCTGCAGCACAGCAGTGTAGCTATGTGGTACTTGCCAGTTTGGAGATGGCTCTAAGACAAGCTACATTTTTCTTTAATTCTTCATCCCTTTTTTCCCCCTCAACCAATAACTCAAATAAAGAATACCATCAGCAACTATTATGAAACTGAGGACTAAAATGCACTGATTTTGAGGGCACAAGATTGGGAAGATTGTTGTAAAACTTTGGAATTAAGAGTACTGAAATATTTTCCTAATCTCAAGAAATAATAGTCCACTTTATTGTATTGGTCAGGTTTCAACTTAAGACTATTGGCAATTCAATTTATGCATCCAGACAAACTGCAACAGTTTCAGAATGGGCCAGTCAGATGTTTAAAAATAAGTCATGTAAGGAGAGATACAGACCTACATGAAATTGCTCTAGACAGGCTCCATCTTAATGGGAAGTATCGCACAACCCAACCCTAAACTGAAACAAAGATAAAATATTCTTGGGTGCCATTATATGATTATCATGTGTCATTGTTGCCCTCAGGTACCATTGTGTTGTTACTATGTCATTGTTATTTATGTTGTTATTCATTATTTTTTATTTTGTGTATTTTTACTTCTATGTTTATCACTCAGAGTAGCAATAAATCAATACAATAAACAGCCAAACAAAATCTTGTTAATTCTGACTTCATCTTATTTTGTACTGATTTTTTAAAATTTGAATATGATTTGTAGTTATATTCAAATTATTGCAAATTAGGATTACATAATTTACTAGCTGTGCAAACACAGTTGGGCTTTGGCTTTTGTTTAAGGAAGAATGGTTAGAATTTTTTTAAAATCATAATTTGTAAACTACAGTTGGAAAATCTATGTCTGGGGAAGGGAACCAAGCTTTCAGCAACTCACAGTCACATTTTTTAAAGATTAGTCTTCAAAAGCTGCTCTAAAGGGTGAGTGACAATGACAGAGTGCTATTATTAGAGAAGCAGAACTGATTTCTTCAGGACCCAGATTGTTGGGGGCAATATACTGACACTGTAAACTGCTTAGAGTGGGCTGTAAAGCACTGTGAAGCGATATATAAGTCTAAGTGCTATTGCTATTAGTCTTCCTTGTTTTGAATGGTGCATTAGCAAGTTTACTCAAATAGGAATATTACGTTTACTGAGATGTAATATACTTATTTGAATTTTTTTTTTAAGTGAAAGCTCAGATCACTGAAGATTGCCAGTTTGCCACTAATTTTTCATAGCACATTCTGGATGGAGGCAGAATCTAGGAAGTTGCAAAAACTGGCACAGCTAGGCTACATGCAACCAATAAACTTCTCATTTCTGCCAAAAATAAGATGGTGGTTGATAATAATAATTGAATCACTAGTATGCCAACACAGAGCTAAGCCTAAATAACAGACAAATACCTTGCAGAACAATTCAGTGTTATCAGGCATATAGGGTACTTATAGGAGATGGGGAACAGGGAGCAATGAGAAAACCATTCTACAAGCCTTCTCAAAGAAGAGTGGTAAAATTCTATCAGTTAATTAATCAATGAACCAATGATGTTTGAAAATACTTTTAAAAATACTTTTCCTGAAGAATAAAATTATTAAATAATTTTTTAAAATAAAGCTAGAGGTTTTTTACTTTTTAAAGAATAGGGATACTCATCCTATTGCAGAGGACAATATTTATTTGTGTGTTCTGTAAAATGAAGGCTTCTAAATAGAGTGTAGTTCAATTAAACTCCCATGCCTTTTGTACATATGGAATAATATGGTATATCTATTTTAGATATATGGTATATATCTATTTTAAAACATTCTCACTAGTAAGAGAGTAATAAAATGCTGAGCATTTCAACATAAAAACAGATGACAGGCCAGCACAATTCTCATCTGATGAGCACTACAATAAAAATATTGTTTATCTGCAATACAATATTATTTATTGTTATGTTTTATATATTAATACATACAACACATTTCTGAGAAAAAAGTGCATATTTTTATTGTAACAACCTATCCTCTAATAAAATATCATAGCCCAACAATCAAAGCAGACTTGATGCTTAATTATATGTAATATCTAACTTACATATCTTTCCAAGCAATATAATAAAGAGATTTCAAGTGCAACTGCACAGGATTGGAGTTTGAAAAGCCAGTTGAATCCTTATTTTGCCAAACTCCATCCATAATGAATTAGGTTGTTTTATCTTTGCTCTCACAATTACTAAGATATGGTTCTGGATGTTGACATACCCAACCTTTGCCTTTGATACAGCAGCAAATGGCTTATCATTAGGCATAGTAGCATTTTTTTCCAGTCAAAAACTAGCATTCCCACACTAGCATCTGTAGCTGTAGTATCCCTATCCAATAGCTGAACATATGTGTATTTCTTTGTGTTTTGGAATATGACAAAATATAAAAGAATCATATCAACAGTAAATCTCAACATGATTATTATCTGACATGTAATATAAATAAAAGCCTAGAAAGAAACTGAATTGGAAGTCTGTATAAAAGATAAAACATGACAAATAATCTGTTTTGAGTAAGATGGGATATATTTTTGTCTCTAATTTTTTTTTAGGAGTTGTAGAGGACAGTTACTTGAAGTTCTAGAAACTTAGGAATACTTCATTTAGAACCCACAGAAGCCCACAGGCAACCTTCCATAATCAAATCTGCTGCCCACATACTGTACAAGCGATAAAATGATAGGGAGCCATTTCAATCCTACTCAAACAAGGGGTGAAATATTATGAGTTATCTTGAATGAATCCAATTTGTCATTTTTAAAAATCAGACAAGTAGTTTATCCAGTAACTCACTATTATTATCAAAGTCTTACCTCACAAACTACAGCAAGATTATTTTCATCTTGAGCTTCTATCAATTCAGCGAGGAAATAGTCTCCATAGGTTTGCCTTAGAATATCGTTATGCCGTGAAAAGATTGGTGTAAGATCATCATGGTCTTCTACCCTACAAATAAGATTATCCTTTTAAAAATAACAAAAATAATTTAGGATTCTATTTTTGTTTTAAATAATTAAGTATAATGGATAAACAAAAGGCATCAATAAACATCATAAATGGACATTTTGCAAGATAACATAAAATCTTATGCAGAAATGATAGTTTCCTAAATTATGATAGATGGTTATAGCAGATGCAAACTTCTTAATCCATTTTAATATAAAGGTCTAACACAATAATATGTAAATTAATATAAGAGACGAGAAAAGTGTCTTTCTTCAGCCACTGCTAGACAGTACAATCTCAGCTACCAGTATTTGGATTTACATCTTAGTATGACAGAGTTATGATTTAACAGCAAACATGCAGCACCAAATCAAAGTCTTGCATTCAGATTACCCATTAACACAACTATCTTTGGTTTATTAATCAATTCACTGTAGAATTAATAGTCAAAATAACCTTTTTAATCCTATTATTAAAATTAATTCTATGATTTTATACTGAAGGCTACTGGACCAAATAGTATAATGGCTGTTAAAACCATTTTAAAAATGCAAATATAATCTGGTACCTGAAATGCTTACCGATTATTATCTAAACATGAGCTGTGCTAATTGTCAACACACAACAAGACAGATTAAACACAACACATATTTAAACATGTGTTTGGTTGGATGGAGTCTCATTTGAACTAGCAACTTGAATTATATCTTTACTTGTCTGAGCTACATTTATAATAAAGCGCCCTTCCAATTATAAATAATGTATTGTATATAAAAGAAATAAATGTCTTATTTTAAGATTCAACAACACAGCAGAAAAATTTCTGGAATGAAATATGATATGTTGTGCCTATCTGAAAAATCATCTCTAAGATAAAATAAAAATATACTTGTAACTGAATACCCCAGAAGTCATTTGGCATTATTATAACAATCTGGTCAGGGAAAAAGTGGGGAGTTTCTGAACACACATGTCATAAAGCAAAGAGAAGGCATTAGAAATCTAGGGGATTTTTAAAATTGAACTGATACAGTATCCTTCTGGCTTAAGTCCTATATATAATTGTGCAGTATAGTAAAACACTGATTTCAGGAGTTTATTCAAGGATAGATTTATTTATATTGACTTTTCTTGCTTTCAAGAATATGATCAATGGGAAAGGCGTTTCTTAAAGTACTCTTACTGTAGCATCAGTAGTGAAAGAAATAGTTCTGCACTGTTTCAGTTAAATACATAAGTTTAAAGAAGAATGAGAAATAAAAAGGAAGAGAAACTACATAAAATGAAAAAAGGAATATACAAAGGAACGAAACATAGTTTTCTAAGAAGACTCCCAGCCTGCCCAAGTCAAGGATCATAAAGGAGTAAGAGTAAAGAGTCAGACTAGATGTGAGTGGAACAGATAGGCCTTGTTCTGGAAAAAAAAGAGAGAGAAAAACCATGTCAGGACTTAAAAGACTCAGAGACGAAGCTATGGGGTAGATTTATAATGAACATAAAAGCTGTAGCTCTACCTCTTCATTGCACTCAGTAAATAATTTTACATTATTGAATTCCCTAGTTTCATGGCTTGTTGCTGAGCCCGGACTTGGCCTCTAATTTTTCTGAAGCCAGGGAGCCTTGCCTACGAAATGGCATAATTTTACATTTTCAGGTTGACAAGGCTTTAAAAAATGTGCTGAGATATTTCCCCTGAATTAAAACAATCTTCAATACATTTTGAGTCATGTTCAGAGACCCACTGATCTCAGGAAATGCAACTACTATGTATCAAACTGACTTAATACTAAGCTGAAAATTGATCTATGACATTAAAGACAAAGATTATTTTCAAATATTGTATTGTTATCATCATTGGTTAGCAATATTGATCAACATTCATTAACTATTTATCATTTTATCACTTTAAATGCTACCAATGGACAGTTTTTCTTTTAAATTGCTATGAAAATTAGGATATCCAGAAATCTTAGACACAAATATTCCATACTCTGTCAAAGTGTGGCATACCAAAATTATACAAATAAAAACTACAATTGTAATATCAGTACAATTCTAACTGCCTATCTTCTGACTTATCATTCTGCAGCAATCTGAGCATTTTGAAATGGGAAATATTCTCATATGAAGTCACAAACTAACTAGTTATTAAGCTGTAAATCAATTAGGGAAGTGGAATATACAGTTTGGTTATATTGAGGAATATAATTTAGTATTTTAGCCTTGCTTATTGAAGAATTCAGGATTTCCAATTTATATGTATACACATACATATACATATATCTAAATACACATACACACAGCATCTATGTGCTACTGACTACAGTAAAATTCACAGATATATTGACACCACTTCTTAGTGATCATTTTCACATACTGAAGCATGTGCGCCACATTCTGTAACTGCATATAATATTTAGAAAAATATGTAGTCCAAGATATGTGGGCATTTCATGAGCTGCCAAGTAATGATATATTTTCTCAGAACCATACGCCATTATATATTAGTATAATTATTATTTATTACAAGCTGGAAATCTTTGTGATCCTTGGCAGACTTTCTAGAGAAATGTGTTGGCCCCTTTTTTGAATCACTAAAGCAGCTGCATCTTTTTCCAGGCTTGCACAGCTGCTTCAGGATCTGCTCCCAATTATCACCGTATATTGTGTGAACATGCCCTTGGAAAAGTTTCTAAAGCAGCTGTGAGAACATGGAAAGTGACATCACTGTTTAATCAGAAAAAAAAGCACACACTCCTACCAAAAAACCTCCTTAGATGAATTTGCAAGCTGTAATACTAGTCAGACAAGATTAAACATGAATATTATGTAAAATACATTGTCATAACTATTATTTTTTTAAAAATAGATAAAATATGGAAAAAAGGAATACCTTGCCATGTTATGTACAATACATTATATTCAATATGATACGTTGCCTGCTTTTTCATGACTTCATGACTCTCATAGTGCTGATAAACTAAATATTGGCTTCTCTTTTTTGACAGATTCTATGCTTCTTTCATCAAAAGACTAAATAGCTCACACTTGTTTCAATAGGAATCCATCAAATTTGTTGAAAAGATATAGCCTTATGCAGCCTATGGCCCAGCCTTTGGAATAGTCTCCCACTGGAGGTGAGATCAGCTCCCACCTTCCTGGCCTTCAGGAAGAGCTTTAAAACCTGACTCTGCAGGCTGGCCTGGGGTCCCGATAGGGATGCTTTATGCTGGGTGTGGCTGACAGAGTAGAGAGAAGAGAAGATCTCCACCTCCATGTTGCCTATCCTTTTGGTTTTTAGTCTTTCTTTAATATTTTGTGGTTTTAATTATTTTGTCTTTTTATCATTTTGTAAGCCATTCAGAATTGTTGCAAAAGTGAGATGGATGGCATATAAATTTAATTAATAAATAATAAATAAATAAATACCATGGACTTTCTTTCTTCATATCTAGCAATAATGTATTTTGTACTGTTCCTAGAATATGAAATAAACCTTAAGAGGTTGTTTACTACCTGTATCAAATATTTGAATGTTGAGAGTTGTACAATTACCCGTAAGTGTTAACAATGGCTTAATACTACGGAGCACAAAATACTTCTCTACATTTTATCAAGACTTTCTTATTGTTTTAAGAAGGGTATTAATTATTTAATTGAATCAGTCCTTTCTCATCTTTGAAGACAACAGTCTTTCCAAAGTGACTCACAAAATAAAACAAATTGTAAAAGCTAATAAATATTTCTTTTAGTTAGGACTCTTAGCAATGGGATCAGTTTGTTAGGGAATACTATGGATAAATGCAGTACTTGAAGATATAACTTAATAAATTTTTGCAAACAGAATTCTTTATCTGCTTCAAGCAAGAAACATAGATTCTACATATAGATATCATCAGGTGGACAATATGAAAATCAAATCAATTTAGCGAAGTTTGAGGAAAGTAGTATGTGAAGATAAAATGAATGGACAGGACCAGAAAGATTGTTTAATACCTTATTGAATTATTGTAATATGAATTATTACTTGGAACATGAGAACATTATTATTGGAACATGGAAGATTATTACTGAGAGCATTTTTCTATACAGCCAGATTTGATACCATGATCTAACAATTATAAAGGAAACAATTTTACAATTCAACAACAAATATAATTCAAGTTTTACAGGTTTTTAAAGTATCCTCAATGAAACCAGCCAAGCATCTCATGGAGAGAAATTCCATATGATGCAAGTGGGAATCAATTTAATGTAAAATAGTTGAATAATGATTATTGAATTTTTTTCAACAACATTCATTATTGAATGTTTTCCAACAAAATTCAGTTTTGCTAAGTTCTAACTCTTGCCAGGCAGTGAAGGAGGATATAAGCTATTTCAGCATTTAAAAAATAAAGTTCCAGTGCTATGTCTGCCAGCTATCAATAATAGTAATTAAGCAACAATAGACTCTCAGATCCGGGGCCACATAAAAATGCACTTCCAAAGATGTTCAATGATATCTATAGGATAATCCACTATTAAAAATATATATTTCCATAGATAGAACATAGAATGTGATGAGATTTGATTCAGATTGATGATGGATTTTATGAGCTCTTTTGGACAACCTCCACAAAGCTTCCTAGATAACCTTTGAGTTGATGTCTGGTGTACTGCAAGTATAAATAAGATGGTTTTCCATGCACGATACCATGTCCTCGTAAAGAAGAATAGTTCATATTTTTATTTAATTAATCTTGTTAATCACTATTATTATTATATTATTATATTATATTATTATCCACCCATATCATAATAAATGCTTGATGAAATAATAAATTCTTTTTATCAACACATATTATTTCATCAGATATTTGGATTTTTGGATAACAATTGTTTCAATTGATTGAATGTAAATTGTTTTTTCTTGTCAAAGTACAAATTGCTAGGTGTAAATTTTATTAGTATTTATATATTTGTTTATTTTCTTTTATATAAAGCATGCATGTATTTTTAGATGTACAGATGTACTATTTGTTTAACTGGAAATATGCTTCCTGAAATATATTTTTATACATGCTGTAAAATTAACTATACTTTTTTTTAAAGCAAGCTAAAATAGTAAGTTACCTTGGATGGAAAGTGTACACAGTTCTTGCTAAGAGTGGTTTGTTTTTCTAGCTGCTGATTGCAAAAGTTTCAAATACCTTAGGCACTGGATTTTGGGGCAGAAATCTTTAAATAAGTCACAAGTCCTTCAAAGATTAAAAGTTTAAATTAGCCAGCCTTGATTCATTCATTATGTTGTTTACCTATTCCACTAATCATTTTATAGGAGAATTTTAAAAGCTGGATTTTTCTTTCTTCTTGTCTTTTTGTTTTGCTAAACCCCAACTTCACTAAATGCTGTACACTAACAAACACAAGATCTATTTTAAAAGGTCTATGATGACCTCTGGTGGTCAATTAATGATCGGTTACTCCCAACTCATTTACTACCTGTCAAAATGTGAAAAATCACATAGAATGAAATGATTTATTTTTAGAAACAAACTATATGGCATAAGCATGTGAAGTTGGTAAATGTGATATTAAAGCAATTTTCTTTTTTTTTTCAATATTAAATCCTTTTAAATATGTTTCAAAGTAGAGAGATATAAGAGGACACTTGCACATTTAGCCAGTTACCATAGAAACTAAACAAGCATCTAGGTGCTGTCGTTTCAAACTGCTTTTGAGAGAATATTCCTCCTCTTTCTTCAACAACAACAAATTATATTAGTTTCATGATCATCACAAAGTTAGCAACTAGCATGTCAGAGAGATTTTTCACAAGTACAAATTCTTGTAAGATAAATCACCAATTCCCATGTAGAAAAGCCATTCTAGTAAACCAGGTAAGAATGACACAAAAATTGGTATTATATACTATATGAAAACCCTGCAGTAGTCCCAAATACTGACAGCATAATAATTTCATAGTTATTATCATAGAAAATATTCATATTACAATTTTTATAACTAAGCTCCGTGTCAGCAGACTCTGGTCATTATTGAACGAAAACTGAGAAGATTCAATATTAGGTCCATACTCAGCCATGGAAATTCACTCTCTCAGACCAAGAAATGTGGCAGAATTTTTGTAGGGAAGAATTGGAATGGAATCATACAAATAAATCAAACAAATAAATAAGTACATTAAGAAAACAAGAGCAAAAATGCACATTTGAATAGAATGTGATACAATGTGCATAAATGCATTAAAGATGATTAAGGAATACTGAAAGACATAAATGAAGATACTAACATAAGTTTAATTCACTCTCGCACATAGTGTAGATACTACCTGGCACAGCGAATATACAACTGAGGACAATACTGATGCCTGTGTGACACATGGAGACTATATTCCATAATCAGAGATGAATTGACAGGATTCCTCATGGGCTCAAAAGCTACTGCCAAATCTATACCTGAAGACAACAAACATGTAGTAAAGGTAACTCACATAATGCATTGACTCTTCAGCTAAATGTTTCTAATGTCTGACATTAAAATTATTATTAATTTAAAATATTTAAATAAAAAGTGTTGTTATATAGCAGGGGTGGGCAACCCTGCCTACATGTGTTCTCCCAACATCCTGTCTGCATCTCATCAGCACTCAGATTATCATACTACTAAAATTCAAAGGCAAAATTCAAAATTAAGTATTGGAATGGGAGCAAGAGGTCACTCAGTGGCCTCTAATTCCAATTCCTATCCTTCAAATGCTGGAAAAAAAATGTTTCCTCTGTTATTTAAACCCTTCTTCTGGTAATGTGGTTTACAGTCATCTAGGAAATCAGGAGGTTAAATTGCAATTCCCAATCTTGTTATTTACTAAGAGAGGAAGCAAAAGTTATAAACTAGTAATGGCTAGGCTAGGTGATTCATTGAATTATTATCATCCATTCTTATTTTGTACTTATTAATATCAAAGCCAAAAGCCAGTAAACAAAATAGATTACTATAAACAGCAGACATTTCACATACATCCTAATTCCTATATATTTTTATTATTCTTTTTGGTAACAGGATTTATTCTTATTATATACTACATATTCTGTTATAGTATACATTTCCCTCATGACCTTAATTTAATACATTTTTATTACTTTGTTATTTTTTCAGCTGGATTCTTAATGCCAAATACTGCCCATGCATGTTCAAAATTAATAGCTTGTTTGTTGTTTGTGTTCCAAATGTAACTGCTCACAGGACAGAATAATTATCTAGCACATGGAAAATTATTTGTTTGTTTGTTCACTAAATAGGATCCAGTTTTCAAGCTGAAAAACCAGGGAGATGGGATGTAGAATCTGCTTGTTCTGATACTAACAAAGGTAGCAAATAATAGAGGTAGAGATAGCAACTAACTGAATCTGCTACTGATTTCTTAAAATTGTATTGGGTCAATAAAAAGAGAGAAAGATTTTAGGAGCCATAAAAAATGTAGACAAGTCCTTACCCAATTCCTCTTGAAATGGTATGAAGAGAAATACGAAATGTAATTCTGGTACAGTTTTAAAAACAGTCCTGTGAACAATATTGTATTTTATTTATTTGCTGTTTATTTTAAGTTAAAAAAATTATGTACACCAAAATAACAGTCATATTTTAATTTTCTTTATCAAAGTAGAATGGTCAGCAAAATAATATTTTCATCTATATAATCGCCACCAAAAAATAAATGTATGTTCAGAGCACAGGAATCAAGTGAACATATGAAATGGTGTCAGATACACAAGATCACCAATATTTGCAAGATGGAGCTGCCATTCCAAAAGACCAAAAATTAACGTAACTAATTTTCTAGAGAATTCATGCAAGATGTTGCAAGACTTGTATTTTTCAAAAAAAAACCAACAACAAAAAAAACCAACAACCTCAGAACATTTTATTTTTATTTTTTACTTTAAATATAAATGAGGAAGAGGCTGCAGAAAGTGCTGAGTTGCTAATCCCAAGATTAGGCTTGGAATATATAAATGTGGTAAGTAAACTTATTGAACTGTATACATGGCTACTGTTCTGATTATGGTTCCATGTCAAGTTAAAGATCAAGTCTAGATCAAAAGATTTTTTTTTCTATAACAGATTTTCCACATGTTATAAGAAGCTATACCCAGCTTACTGAGAACATTTTAGGAAGAGAACTGTTTTGTTCCTGGGCAGTCCAATTCTGTGTACCAAAAAACCTGAGAATAAAATAGTGTTACAATAGTGCAAAAGGGAATAAAACAGTAAACTAGAAAACAGAATGATGGGTAATAAAATGCAGTTTTGCTATGTAACAATTATAGCTATTTATAATTTAAAAAACAAACAAACACAAACTGAAGAAAATTTGGTCCTTTGATTACACACAAGTCTGTGTCAACTCATAGCTACCACATGAACTATCCTCAACCTGGTCCTTTTTCTCAGCCCAACCCACCTCACTGGGCTGTAACTAACTAACTAACTAACTAACTAATTAACTCAAGGCAACAAACATACTGAATATTCCTTCCTCCTCCTATTTTCCCCAGCCACAACCCAGTAAGATGGATTGTTGTTGGGAAAAAGGAGGAGGAGGTAGTATGTTTGTCACATTCATTTATTTGTTTGTTTGTTTACAACTCAGTGAGGTGGGTTGGGAGAAAGAGGGATGGCCCAAGGTCACCTAGCCAGCTTTGGTGCCAAGACAGGACTCCAATTTATGATCTCCCAGTTTTTAGCCTGGTGCCTTAATGACTAGATCAAGCTGGCTCTCTCATTAGACAAAGCAACTTCCTGCTGGCTTCCCACAACCAAAGTTAATGGGGAAGTTGGCAGGAAGTTGAAAGTCTCAGGCTGGCAGGCAGGTAAGTGGCTGCTGCCATGTGTGGGAGGAGCAATGGAGTTTTTGAGAGGTGATACGCTGGCCAGATAGGATTGGGGCGGATGTGTGAGGGTTAAGGGGGTGCATAAGAGGTGCCACATGCGTTGGGAGTGTGTGAGAGTGTGCGTGAGAGAAACTGCATGGGTCAGGAGGGGTCTGCTTGGTGTGTAAGGAAGTTGTGGCAAAGGTTAGGGAAGGTAGAAGAGAGGTGTGATGAAGCTTTGGGAAGGTATGTGGAAGACATAGCAAGGGTCAGCAAGGGTGCAAAGGGCATGCATAAGGGTGTGAGGGAGGCATGGTGAGAACTGGGGAAGATGCACAGGGGCGCATGAGGGACAGACAGCAATGTTTGGGGATGGTATGTACATCACAGTTGGAGTGTGGGGATGCAGCACACTGCAGATGATATGTGGGGATGCTGCAGCACAGTGTGGGAACATAATGGGTAGGAAAGGGTACATGAGGGAGAGACTTACTCCAGTGCAATAAGACTTTTCCTCCTATCTTCCCCATTGGTTTTCTGGGGAAGCTGCCAGGAAAGTTAGAAAATGGTAACCATGTGATCATGGGGTAGTACTGCCACTCATAAGTACAAGCCAGTTACCAAGAACTCAAATTACAATTACATGACAACAGGGATGCTGGGATGGCTGGAACTCTAAAGACCAATGAGAATCTTCATTTATTCAGTGCCATCATAACTTTGAACAGTTGCTGAATGAAGGGCTATAAGTTGAGGACTACCTGTATATGCAATGTATTGATAAATATGCAGTATACAAATTCATTTTATTTATTTGTTTGTTAAATTGCCCATCTGTCCATGGGGCTACTCTGGAAAGCTTAGAATAATAAAATGGAAAAAAGTGACAAAAATGTGAACGTAACAATAGCAAAGGAATAAAATAAATAATGTTAAGTATAATAATATGAAATTAAAGAAGAGGGGAGCAGGAACCACAGTATGGAAGTGGGTATTTTAAGCTTATATAGTCTACTTCTGTTTATTTCTATTAGCCATCTTGACTACCCGTATTTAATAGTGTAATGGAATGCATGGATAAGCTTGACGAAAGGGGAGAGATGCTATCTAGAAAATTGTCAGATAAGACAGTAACGAGCCTGTTAATTGTTTAATGGTCAAAGAAAGAAACTTAAGAAGGACTCTCCTCAATGGATCTAGCAGTTAAAAATGGCAGGTGGAAAGTTTGTACTTCCAGATTTGCAAAATTCTGTTAATGAAGCCTCACAATAGAGTAGATGTGGTTCATCTAGTTGTGTTTCCTATCTGGTTTACCAGGAAAGCTAGCAAAAGGTTACTCAATAATCTGGTATACATCAAATAAATACATACATACATTCAATAAGGGCTGACAATTGCTTTGCAAATACCCAATAAACAAAAATACACATTTACATATTACTAATTTGAAAGAGATCTACACTGCAATTCCATTCTTTGAATAAGCCTTTGCAACTTTCAGAATAGAACTTCTAAACAGAAATGTATTAGAATTCAATGTCAAGGACAGGTTCAATTTTTAAATTCCAAGAAAGTTCCCATACAGGATCTTCACAAAATTTACTTACTTCATAATTTCATGACAACAATTGACTGAATATTCATCAGCTGCTACAAATAGATGCATAAATAGTGTATTTAAAGGCTGTGAATTAAAAAAAGTTACAAACTTAATAAAAACATTCCATGTTAATAAAATAACTTTAGTTTTGTTCTTGTAAAAATGAATGCAACACTGTAACAAACTATTCTAGTATTTTAGTTATAAAATTTTTTAAAGGATTTTTAAAGTTTACTGTATTTTGTTATCCTTTTTGCAAGTTATTGCATTACCTAGAACTATATGTTGACGTGGGGTAAACACAAAAGCTGACTACACATATATACCATGCTGTTCCTTTTTTTGCATAAACATTTTTACACATAGCACTGAAAAGGAGTAATAAATAATGAGCTCCCCCCAAAAAACTCTCCAAAGACCTTAGATAAGAAAAAGATAAGTGTTTAACATAGATAAATCTAATTTATATCAACATTGTTCATATCTTTCATATCATTCATACCTTTCTATCCTTGTAGGTTGTGTTCTTGCTTCCACCATATCATAGAGGCAGACGGCCTTTTGTTCTTTAAACTCTCTTTGAGCATCTGATCAACTTTGTCCATCCATGATTTCCTCAACCTTCCCCTCTCTCTTAATCTATTGTTTTGCAATTCAACACTGATAATTGGCTTATTTCTAATCTATTCCTTTTCTAAGGACCCCTAGCATGGAATTTGCTTTCTTTACTGCACACAGTTTAAATGATCTGAACTATCACTCTGATAGACATAAGTTTAAAAACTCTAACATTGAATTGCCATTGCTGTTTAGTGGCCCGGTCACTAAGCTTGCGGTGTTTCTTTTGGAATTTTTACAATCCATTTGGTATTTTACTACTGTACCTGAGATAATTTTGTGTCATCTGTAAATTTTACTTCCTCATTAGATGTGCAAAATTATAAATCATTTATGAACTGATTAATGCTAAGACCCAAATACTTGCAGGATACCATTTCTTGCCTTCTTATTCCATTACACATATTGCTCATTTATTTTCCAGCTAAATTTGTCTCCATATTCATGATTCAACCCTATTCACTATCATGTTCTCTTTAAATCAAAAGAAATTTCTTATATTCATACATTTCTTAAGTACACAGTAAAGAACAAAAAATTGGTCTGCACATCAACTGCCCCAAAATAAAGCATATTTCCTATATTTCCTAGATGTGATTCACTACGACATCTTCTACCCCTTCAATCAGAAGGCTACCAAACATTGCCTCAAGCACTTACCAGACTAATTCTCCTGTAGTTTTTGTACTCACTCTTGCTACCTTTCCCATTGCTACCTTTCCCATTGGTTTCCTTATGCTGAAACACCCTATAAGCAAAATATTTATAATTCAGAATATCCACTTTCTCTGTGTGTGCATCTATTTCACTTTTCAATGTCCTCAATGCATTTATTATTGTTGACATTATTTTTGTGGACAGTAACAGACACTAACCCAAACCCTAACAGTCTTGCCTCCGGAGAATAGCTTTGTTAACTCTGTGAAAAGTTATTCACTCTCTCACTTATCTCTTCTTGAAGACTGCCCTGATCCTTTCTTTAACATTTATTTTTGGAAAAAGTTAAGTATTAAAGGTGGGATATATAATTCCTGGGGGGAAAAAACCTTTTCTTTAAACACCACTGCCTCTGGAATTTTTAATAGCTAGAGCCAGATCTACACATTGCTAATAATAAATATGGACAAAAAAAAACCCTACCTGCTTTTATTCTTTCTGTGAAACAAAGTTAATAATACTTGGGGTTAGACTCCAGAAGACAAGGGTATATAAAATCAATGAATACTAGCAAATACAGTGATTTTTCATGTTTTCTTGTAATTAAAAATAAAATAAAATGCATTTATTCCTCTGAGAACATACAAAAATGAATTAGAATTAGAATTTTCAAGTAAATTTTTTCCCCATACTTACTGTACACTTTGTCTCAGGATAGCTTTGTTTCATATATGCTTCCCAGTTAGCTTCATCAACAAAGCCCCAGTTAGGATAATCCAAAAATGCAGCATGAGCAACACTTACATTTTTGTCATTAATCACAGTCACTGCAAGATTAGTTTTTTCTCTGTAAAATAAATGTTATGTTTTTGAAGTAAAATTAGTAAAAGAGAATTCAATTTCTTTATTTAAGATATATGAGAAGGTGTTATAATTGTGTTACTTACAAAAGATATATGACATTAATCCTGCCAAACAATCTTTCTGTATCATAGTTCATGAGACTGATAATATTAGGAATATCATGGGATTCTGTCCTTCTGGCACTTAAAACAACTAAAGATGCTGGTGTAGATGAGATTCTTGTAGATGAAGACATTCTGCATACTGTAACAAAACAATAACCAAATATTCCCGTTGAATACTATCATTTATCATCAAACATATTATTGAAATGGTTCCAAAATTAATCTCCAGAAATATTTTAAAATCACAGCATTCCTTAAATATTTCAGTCAAGAAATTAAACCTTATGGAAGTACACTTAATTTATAATCCAATAGTGCCTATTTCAAAGTAAACTGAGCTGAATTTTAGTTTGTAACCAGACCACCCATGAACTCTTGGATAATTATTTTAGAGGTATTACCTTACCAGATTCCTCAATGGCTTAAACAATGGCAGAGTTTCTAATGTACTTCAAAAACTCTTATGAATTTAGGGAAATTTAGTTTGAGATATATATCTGCCCTGAAAATATGCCAGGTTGAACTATAAAGCACTTAGCACTTATAGACTTATATACCGCTTCACAGTTCTCTAAGCAGTTTAGAGTCAGCATATTGCTCCCAACAATCTGGATCCTCATTTTACTGACCTCGGAAGGATGGAAGGCTCAGTCAACTCTGAGGTGGTCAGGATCAAACTGCTGGCAGTCAGCAGAATTACCCTGCAATACTGGCTCTTGCACAGTCAAACATCAGGAGTTCACCACAGAAAATGTTTGATGACATTTTGCATTATGACATAAAATTCTTTATGATTTTTATGATTTTTTATGTTTCATACAATTTTTCTAATTTCAATTCTACAGGAATCATTGGTCCTGGATTTTAGATGTATTGTTTAGGTTAGCTCATTTGAAGTACTTGTATCAAAACCTTTACCCTACGCATTTTGCCCAGTTAAATGTTATAGGAATAGTAGTTTAGTTTAGTAGTATGTAGATAGATAAATGTCCCAGGGTTATGGTTATGGTTAGGGATCTCTGATGAGCACAGTCTTGATTGATACTCTATATTTAAAACAAGACTCTTAATCTTTGATGGATGTAAAATTAGGGGTGAATTATAGAGGCTTATTAAAGTTTGGTTAGAATGGCAGAGAAAAGTTTGTTAACAGCCATCATCAGGGCTCTGTCTTTAGAAATATATTTTAATGTCTTGGTGGGCGGAACTAATGTCTCTATCAAGCTTGATTCTTTGGATCGTATTTCTGTAGTTTTCTTGGCAATAACACACAAGTTTTTAATTTATTTATATCCTACCTTTGTTACTTTTACAAATAACCCAAGGTGGTGAACATATCCAACACACTTTCCTCTTTTCCCCACAACAACTCTGTGAAGCGAGTGCCTGGCCCAAAGTCACCCAGCTGACTAGGACTCTCAGTCTCCCACTTTCTAGGTTGGTGACATAACCACTAGACAAAACTGACTTTTGTTATTTCCTAGGATTTTTTTTTAAATCCCAAACTTAAGCTAATAGTATCCCTTGGATACCATTCGTACACTGCCAGGTCTAACGTGCCTATCTATTCCAATATCAGGTGGATTTTGTCCCCTTAATCAACTAGCCTACAGCCCTATACTTACAAGCTGGACAGTCATCACTAACTAAAGGTGACTGTAGTTCCTATCTCATGATTGGCCCTTGTTTGATACCTCTTCTTTTAAAACCAAATTGAGATTTAATCCAAATATAACAGAATTTTCAAAGCCCACGGGGAAAGGATTGTTGCCGTGCCAAAATAAGCACCCACGTTGATAATTGCTCTGCTTCCATTCGCCATCAGTGTCCTGGGAATTTCTGGCGAAAACAGTATATTCGAGAAATAATATTTGAAAGAGCAGAGTTGGACGGGGTGACGAAGTGCCCGCTTCCAACTGTAGGAGTCTTATCTACCCAAGGCTCACCTCCCCACAAGCGGCCACCTTTCAGGACCGGGCGCGGGAGCTCTGCAGAACAAAAACCACAACTCCGCTGCGGACGCTGAATCCACTCGGAGCGGGCTGTTTGTCTGTTCCTATGGCAACCAAAAGCCCAACCTTCTAAGGCGCAAGGTTTGCTGGGAGGTCAAAGTTCAAAGTGAGGAGGCGGAGGAAAAGGCGGCGTAGATTAATAGGACGGGAGAAAAGATGGCGTCCACGGCGGCTGGGAAGCAGCGAATTCCCAAAGTGGCAAAGGTGGGCAGGGGAGGCAAAGTGCGAGGTTGTCACGGGGCGCACAGACAGCCGTGGTCTATTTACTCGGAGTTGGATCTCACTGAATTCAGTATAAGTGTTTTGTTTCCTAATGGGTAGACGTGGGCTAGAAGTGTTGCGATTCGACGTGGTGGGACCTGAGATTTTCAGGATTTGTGGAAAATCGGCATGATCCACCCCATAAAAAGGAAAGCAGGGTAGATCAGATCGTTGTGATCTGTCACCGAAGCACTCCGGGGTTTCTGTTCTAAATAAAGGCGCTTTAGGTTCAAGTTTGCTTTTGGATTAAAAAAACACTATCTAAACCTGGTTTTATTTTAAAGGATACACCAATAAAAATCCTAGTAAAATATTTGTCTAAAGAGGAAGTACAGTTATAGTAATGTCATCAGGGACAATTTGCACAATGTGGGAAAAAATACCGTACTTCATTAAACTTTCTGTCATCTTTGTGGTTACAAGAAATAGTCTCTTTACCGGCCTAGAAGAAAATATTGGAGGGAACAATTATTCACAGCTCTGCAAAACACTTGGGTTCAATAGGCTTTACTCCTAAGTTAGGGGAATTGCAGCCTGAGGCTATTTATCAACAAAATGCATGCAGTCGGTAGCTAACTAGACTGTGCTGTTTTAATTCTGGGCATACCGATTTGTCCAAATAGTTATTGCACTGTTCATGCAAACCGTTTTTTTAGCAGTTTTGAGAAATAACATGACTTTAGAATAGAAAACTATAATATGGTTCCGATTGTCCAAGTCAAGTTCTCAAACTAGAATTTATATCTTGAGAGAGATGGGCAGTTAAGAAGTATGACAAATCAAATAATGAATTGGTGAGTTTCAAATTAGGAAATAATAAATAACAAGAATCAAACTTGTGAAATGTCTTAATTTCTGCTTAGGAAGGAGGGGATGGATAGATAGTTATGGATCTGGAATGGGCAAAAGATACATCTCTAAGAGAATCCCAATAACGTTGGCCTGGTTTGTAATTAAGAAATTTAACTTTATATTGTAATTTTTAAAAAATAAAGGGTTTTTTTCTTGTTAAAGATAAAACAAGTGGAATTTTAATACATTTTAAAATACAGTTCTGAGACTGAATTAAATTCTTAGTTTAAGCTATGAGCTTTGATATATACTATTTTGTTTCATAGATGCTGCTTCTTATATTTCAAAGAGTAAGTTAGTGGCCAGTGAGGGACTTGAAAAACAAACTAGAGTCCTAAATAACCAGCCCGAGGTAGATAATAAATGTTGTGCAATATTGTTGTACTTAATTACCTTTTAGTAGAGCACAGTGCCTTTGCCTTGTCAGTATAGATACAAACACCAGATCTTGGCTGCAAAAATCTGGATAATCATATGAGGGAAGCAAACATCTGTATCTTTTTGTTATTACCTAGTATTTGTCTGGATTTTTGCAACTGAATCTGATAGCCTAATCCTGGGCATTGCTATTTGAGTAACGGTAAGGAAACCATTTGCTCTGGAAAAATATCTCTGTGTTTCTGATGACAGAGAGAATTTTATTTTTCCACAAGAAAATGAGAGTAGAACCCCTTTTTAGATCTTTTTAGAGTCAGTGGTACTAGGTCAAGGGTTGAGAAGGCAGAATAGATGTTATGAGTGGAATGTAAGCTTTAAGATTTAATTTTAATAATTGAGCCGGGTTTCTATCTAATTTTCTTGCAAAGACAAAATAGTTTCATTTTGTGAGACTCCTATTCTCTTATGCCTGGTTTTAGCATCATATAGTTTACATTAGTGAAATTTACACTATAGTTTTAGGTCTGCCTAATCACAAACTGTAAACCTTCACAGGTATAGTTATCGTGTAGTAGATGGATCGATGTGAAATCTTCCTTCCTTCCTTCCTTCCTTCCTTCCTTCCTTCCTTCCTTCTTTCCTTCCTTCTTTCATTTTCTTTTCTTTTTCAGTCCTTGACATATAATCACAGTTGGGCCCAAAATTCTATTGATATGCAAGATAGTTGTTAAGTGGGTTTTGCCCCCATTTTATGACCTTTCTTGCTACAATTATTAAGTGGATCACTGTAGTTGTTACATTAGTAACACAGTTAACTCAATCTGTCTTCCCCACTGACTTTGCTTACCAGAAGGTAGCAAATGTGATCACATAACCCTAGGATATTGCAACCATCATAAATACATGCCAATTATCAAGTGTCCAAATTTTGATCAATGTCTATGCAACAGTTGTAAGTGTGAAAAAGTCATAAGCTACCTTTTTCAGTGCTGCTGTAGCTTTCAATAAATGAACAGTTGTAAGTCAAGGACTACCTATATCAATTGCAGTATGTGAAGTATTAGAGACTTAATGCACCTGCTATAGTATGCATCTTCAAGCACTTTCTAAAGCAGAAAATTCTGGCACTGTTTGCTAGTGCTACCAGATTTCGGCAGGGGGATGGATAAGGTCTCTGAGGCTGTACAGTTATGGATTGGTGCCACATTCAGGATGTCAATTCTAAATATGGGTTTCTAAAATACATTATATTTTTAAATATGTTCTCCATCAGGTGAAAAATAAAGCTCCAGCAGAAGTACAGATAACAGCAGAGCAATTGTTAAGAGAAGCAAAGGAGAGAGAACTCGAGCTTCTTCCCCCACCTCCTCAACAGAAAATCACAGATGAAGAGGAGCTAAATGATTACAAGCTTCGGAAAAGAAAGGTAGATAAGACATGATACTTTATAATAAAATACTGTATTGCTTTATAATAAAGATTTGACCACTCAAAAACTCAAAGAAAAGCAAATGTAAGACAACAAATAAAGATCATAGACTGGTATGGTATTTTACAAATAGTAAAACAAACCTAGCCACATGAAGGGAAATAAGACCACTTTGTTTGAATAATAACTGTAAATAAAA